GTATGTATGTATGTATGTATGCATGTATGCATGTATGTTTGTGTACTATATATATATATGTATGTATATGTACACAAATGTACAGGTACATTTTTGGTTTTGTTGTATGATTACATTCCGATGCCGATTAGCTTGCATTGTGTTCATTGTGTAGGGTTACACAGGTTTTTAGGTTGGAGGGTGCTGGCTATGATTTTAGGGAGGGGTGTCGGGTGGTATCAATACCTGATGGTTCTCTCCGGTTCCCTGGTGACCCTGGTGTATGAACATGAACACGAGGATGAATCAGAAGCCGAATCTCTACCCAAAACTACCGTGAACGAGAACCCTATACATGCCCTAAATCCCCAGACTCGAAAGCCGAACTAAATCTACTATGCAAGTGGCTCTCCCAAATGCCTGGACCAAGATCGCAATAGCACCTCAAGGGCGAAAGCGCTATGCTTGAAACCCACACGCTTTCGCTGCAAGGAGGTTTCGGCCCCGACACATGGGCTCCATAGTAGTTCCTTTTTGTGGTTCATATCTAGGGTCCTCTAAGGTAACCCCAAAAAGGAACTACTATGAAGCCTATGCATACGCCCTAAAGCCAGACCCTAACCCCAAATTGCCAGGTTTCGGGCCCCTCGCTGCCTATTCGGGGGTTGCCTGGCTCCGTGTCGCACGCAAGCGACTGCGCATGAAGCGACAGCAAGAGGCCGCAGCAAACTTTTTTTCGGGTTTTTGAGGGCTTAGGGTATGTGGTTATCTTGGGTCTTGGAAGCAGCTGGACAATATAGGAGCTTCATGAAGGGAATTGGTATCCTTCTTGCATTCTTTTGGGCTTTGATAAAGCTTCTATGATATAGACGCTCAATGATTTCGAGAATGGGTTTTATGCTGTGGGATTGCAGTATAGGGTCCGTAGTATCGTCTCTTCACTCTGAGAAGAAATCCTTAGGAACACTGTTGGCAATTCTTCAGACTTCTAGATTGTCGCGTTTTTGGTGGTGTTTGTTGAGGCCGCTGGTTGTCATTCGTTTTCTGCTGGTGTAAGGTGTTAGGGTCTAGGGATGTAGACTACGACGACGACTACTAATGGCCACCACCACCACCACCATCATCACCACCCGTCCTATTTTCATTTGTGCTTCCGGAGATACATATTCCTAATTCCTCCGCTTCAGCTGCCGATCATTTAACACTAGGCCGGCGATTATATACTAGGCCTGCTTTTCACAGGATTGCCTTAGACGGCCATGTAGCACGACCCTCGAAGTTTGGCGCCTTAATGTACAGACTCGTTCAGACCGAACCAGAGCTTTCACAGCAAGGTTGGGCTAATCGCATCAGCAGGTAAGCGGTGGTCGTGTCACGAAAGTCCCCCGGCCAGCACCGGCAGAGCATTGTACAAGCTGATGGAAGCAGGAGCAACTAGAGGTGCGTGCATCAAGAAGCCTCTGTTGCCAAAGGTCTTCCATCACTAACATAAATATAACCCTGATGTATCCCAGTACAACTGGGACTTCTATTGTCGATCTACGGATCCTTAACCCTAAAACTGCCCGGTGTGAGTCTGCATGCCGAAATCCCATGAACACATGAGGCTCCCAATACTCCCAGCCCGAGGCCCGGCGCTGGCGCAACTCGCACCCTCAAACAAAATCCCAGAGCCAAAAGCCCTGACGAACCGCTGCACTCTGAGTTCTGAAATCTTATAGCTACATGCTTGGTTCAAAAATGTCCCAAAGGCTTATAGTGCTGCAACTACACACATGGTTGACATAGTTGCAACTGAAGCACAGCAGATGACTCTTAACAGATGCTGTTTTGTTGCAGCAATGGGCGACATTCGTCACGCAGCAGTCATGACAGGAAAGCATCTTGCAATATCCCTATGGTAAGGGTACTGGGTTCCTAAACCTAGGCAAAACATCCCGAAGCAAGCCCTAAAACCCTAAACCCAAATCCCTAACCCCTGCATGTTGAAAGCTCTCTTAGAAGGAAGCCGAAGCTGCGGAGCGGGCGCTCAACTTCGCGGCCCAGGCTTTGGATTCCTTTTTCGGGTTTTCTCAGAAAGTCCAAGTACTGTCCTTTAAGGGGATGCTAAAGGGGTTCCGTAAGAGGGGCCGTATAACTACTAACTGTCACTATAAGGGGTTGCTTCAAACGCACGCTGTTGCCATGGGGTTCTAGAGCAGGTTCCGATTGAGGGTACATTGGGGTTCGATACAAGGGGTCTCTAGTACAGTGTTTCTGTGCGAGGATTCCGTTGAGGGTATTGTTAATGATACAGGATCCAGGGTTTCAGGCTTGTAGGTTATGGGTGTAGCATGGTGTAGGTAAGTAGGATGGGCATGTTCCTTGTTCAACGCCCCAGGGCAAGGCCCTAAGCTGCCTAAACCTTCGAGGTACAGCCGAGGCCCACACCGGTTGTGGGATGCTGTGTTCCGGCTTTCATAGACAACGCCAGGGGTCGCCCCCCTTTAGGCCCCAAGGGCTCCACTGGCCTCTGTTGCAGGATCTGATCTTTAGGCACTAGACATCGGACCCTAGGTTTTGCCAGTAGTACCCTTTTTTAAGGTTTAGGGTTTCGGGTCTTGCCAGTAGTACCTCTTTAGGGTCTAGGGTTTAGGGTTTCGGGTTTTCCCAAGTAGTACCTTTTTCAGGGTTTAGGGTTTAGAGTTTTCCCAAGTAGTACCCTTGTGCCCTTTGTCTTTTGGGTTCAATAGTAGGACAAGGGAGGACCAGCATCGGAGGCGAAGCTCGAGGTTGGAATTAGCAAGACTATCATGGTAGCTGAGTATGAGTAGGTAACCTTTAACCTTCTGGAGGTTACGATGATCATCCTGAGCCACCGGAACCCTAACTGCTTTTTGAGGGGCAGCTGCCCTGGATGATGCTGCTGTAGCCAACGCAAATTCCCAAAAACCGTCCAGCGAATCGTCTACGTCTTCATGTGGTCTGCATACCACAAATCTCCGACGTCTTATTCATGGAAAAAACGCTCGTTTCTACCCATATCATGGTAACCCTAATTATAATAGTCCCTAAAGTATAGCCTTCATGGACTTCAACCTGCATGCAACACTGCTTTCACACGCAGACACCGCTGGGCCCGACAACGCCTCCGGCCGCCTCTGCCGCCGCGGTTCGGGATCGCACTGGCGACGATGCCACTGGCTGGAAGGGTGTCGGTTGCTTCAGGGTTTAGGGATGTTTAGGGTTTAGTTCGGGTCATGACCTATACTTGGTAGGTCTTTGCAGTTGAATGAGTACACTTTACACTTTTTGGATGCTATATTCTCCTAAAGTAGGTCTTTGTAACGGACACAAGCCCTGCAGAAGCGAGCGGAGTGCCCACGCGCCCAAGAAGCCGAAGGGATCACCTCAGCGACCTCCATGCGCAGCCACCGGAGGTGGCCCATGCTATATTCTCCTATAGCGCAGGAAGTGTACACGTTCTGGGGCTTATGAGCTCAGCAACTAAGTATAAACTCCGAAAGCTTAGTCTACTGTTGCTGTTATGCGAGCTGTGACGATACCTGTTACTCTCACGATCACCGCTGCCCACTGTCCATCCTCAACTTGACAGCCAGAGCCATTCTTGTGGTCAGCCACGGTTTGGATATAGGGTTTAGGGTTCAGGCCAGCCCAGAACCATGAACCGGTTTAGGGTTTAGGGCACGAAACAAGCCTGTGTGAAAAAGGGCCGTTTAGGGTTCAGGGATTATAAGTTATATAAGTTTAGGGTTTAGGGTTTGCACGTCCCATTGAAGTGCCCCTGCATCTTACCTCCTAAGGCCAGTTTCTACGTTTTCGAGCATCTATATACTACACCCTGAATCCAATCCGCAGTCCGTTTGGCCAAGGATTCAAGCAGTGGTGGCACCGAGGAGGAGGAGGCAAGAGCCTTCTTCACTGAGTGGGTTTAAGAGGTTCATCAGGGTTACTAGGGTTCACGGATTGCGGCTGTTTCGTGAAGAAATTGCACTGCTAGGCTCGAACCAAGTCTTCCAATGTGAAGAGTTGTGATTGCTTTCCATCGTTCCGAATCGACGATTGCCGTGCGCAGCGCCTTCGCCCTGACATGCGTAGTTTTTGGGTTCAGGGTTTTGGTTTTGGGTTTAGGGGCGTATATTGTCAAAAGCATTGGTGTCTTCGGACTCCTGCCATAGCTACCTCAACGCGAGAGTCAGTGATGCTGGAGACTTATGCAAACCCGTAAGGTATCACACGGCTAGGCTATGACAGCTTAGGGAACCAAAAGAACAAAGCTCCCGGTGTGAGGCAATCTCTGACCGTGACTCAACGAGAATGCATGTGAAGAGGTGTGTTCAGACTTACCTATATAGGCCCATAGGCTATACAAGTCAGACCTTACACCTTTTGGGGCACCTACTTTTCTATGTTACTAGCAGATCCTAAAGGTAGTGTGCTTCGATACCACAGATGCATCGCAGCCCTGTGGTTTGTCGGCAGACTTTTCCCCTTCGTGTAAATGACCATTGCAACAAGTCCATGACGCAACCTAGACAGTCTTCTGAAGTCGATCGCGATGCTCGGCCACGTTCTCAAAATGTGTTTCCTTGTCAAGGGGTGGCATATGGAATTGTGGGAAGCATGGGGAGTGCAATTGCAGTCCACTGTCTACATCTCCCATACATATCTTTGCAGAGTACCCTAAACCCTAAACTGGTGGTACAAAGCACGGTCAAAGAGCCCGACCGTCTCCAGGGCAGCGCCAGTAGAAGCACCCATGCTGCTCGGTGTCACAGTTTTACTGAAGTGACAAGACCGTATAAAGAGTAAGAGTAGTAGTAGTAGTAGTAGTAGTAGTAGTAGTAGTAGTAACAGTAGTAGTAGTAGTAGTAGTAGTAGTAACAGTAGTAGACCAGTACATGTAGGGTCGTCATTATCGTCATCGATTAGGGAGCATCAACAAGAGCGAGCTGGACACACGTGCAGCGCATTACCGGCTCAGATCTCCCATATAGAAAGCTCAGACCAACTCGTTTAAGATGGCACGTGTTGGAGCCCGGGCGGTTGCTCTCGCCGCCGTGGTCGGCGCAGCCGTATGGACCCAGTCCTGCTTGAAGGCCTTCTGCGGTGGCGGGTTGAGCCGTCCTGAGGGAGCCGCCGTTGCCCGCAATGGATGGCGCCTGGATAAGATGGAGGTCGGCCCCCAGGGCATTGGGCAGCTCGTGGTTGCTGAGGGCTTCTTCATTGGAGAGAAGGACATGTTCAAGATCTGCAACAAGCAGGGGCGTCGCTACCGCATGCGTCCTTTCGCGGAGGAGCGCAAAACGGACACCACCCTCCCTGGCATCTTCCAGCTCGGACCTTTCAAGATCCACCTCGAGCAGGCCTTCCGCGGTGGTGCTGGCTCTCATGCACTCTTTGCAGATCGTCCCGAGGGCTATTCGGGCAACGGTGGCACCGCCGGCTGGGGTGAGGACATCCCCACGCGCAAGGGCGGCTACGGCAGCCGCTGAAGTAGTTCTGAGCAGACCTGAGCGACACCAATTTTTCACCGGAAGATTGCCCTAGTCAAGACGAAGCCTTGTCTACAAGTATAGACAGCTCACGACCTCAACGCTGAGATGCTAAAATGGTCCACAGATCCTCTCTGATCCCCAGGCATCCCACGTACTGGTGCTGAACCCCGGAATCCCTGAAGCCCATTCCGCTACACCCCAAAACCCTATTCTAACTGCCCCAAGCCTAGATTCGCCGGAGGCTCTGATGCTCCTGGAGCAGCAGGTCCGCAGCTTCTTCAGCCAAGTTCATGCAGAACATTGCCATTTGGTGATCTGCAACAGCCGTACAGATACGTATGATGATGATGATGAGGAGGAGGAGGATGATGATGATGATGATAACGTCGATGAGGATGATGACGATTGTGATGATGATAGCGGTGATGAAGATCAATCTGGATATATTTGTATGAATCTATATATATATGTATGTGTATATATATGAAGGTTGTGATGTTTCCATGACTGTTCAATGATGGTTCAGCTATGGAAGAATGATTCGATGATGATGGCCATGATCCTCGTCATGATGATGTTGAAGATGATCATGAGATTGATGATGGTGTTGTTGGTGATGGTGGTGATGAGCTGCATGCTGATGCAACTGCATATGCAATTTGTAGTGGGGACGTTGATGATGACAGACCCTGTTCTCATTATGACTACAGGTTGCTTGTTCCCGTCTCTTTTACGATTCTACGGCATTTTCGCGAGGCCTCAGAAGGCCGTCTGGCGAGGCGGTGTAGGTTTCGTGCCGTATGTTTAGGGTTAGGAATTACTGCCTAGAATCCTATCCACGGATGCTGGAGTTCATCCACACGCAGTGGGAAGTTCTCCAGCAGGATGTAATGAGACTGTGCAGCGGATGCCACTTAGCAAGCACATGAGATACCAGCTCAACATGGCAATCCTAAGCCCTAAACTGCACACAAGCCCTACACTTGTCTTGAAACCCAAAAGCCTTGAACCCTAAACCCCTGAAGCCCTAAGTACAAAACTGAAGCCAACGCCATCTAATTAGCCTTGGCTCTGACACCGTTCTACGCGGCCAAATGCCGCTGGGCCGGAGAATGAAAACCGATGACCCTTTTTAGAGCCATGTGCAATATTCATTAATATATATATATATAGGTATATGTCTGTGTGTATGAGCCTATATATATATATATATATCTATAGCGACTATGCACATATAGCGGTTTGAAGAATTTTCTAAGCCCTACACTGCCGGTATAGAGCCCTTAGAGGAGCCTTATAGAAGCTTGACATACGCAGGAACACTAACAAACCTAAACCCTAAAACTAGGGGTTTTGGGGTTTAGGTTTCTAAACCCCTAAAAACCCCCCTAAACCCTAAACCCTAAACCCCTAAACCCCCCTACGCCCCAAACCCTAACAAAAAACAAACCCTAAAGCCCCCGACTGCCGGAGGAGACGCCGAAGAACGAAGAGGACGCCAGCGACATCGAGTTCGAGCCGGCCGAGACCACGAGGTTGCTCACGGGGGGTCCCATGGGGACCGGGTTGGTTCCCTCGGAGGCACTCTTGGGGTTTAGGGTTTCGGAGTTTAGGGTTTATGGGTTTAGGTTTTAGGGCTTAGGGCTTTTATCATGATAGAAACCCAAGGGGTATTAAAGCCATCATGCTTATGATGTGTCTAAGGGGCTCACAGCATATTTAATATGGCTGTCCCTCACGAGGGCCTTTTCGCCAAGCAGTTCTTGATCACTGCTTTCTGCATCTATGTTGCACAGCAAGCGGCTGGTACTGCGACGGGTTGAACAACAAGGGATATTGCAAGGGGCAACCAAGCTTGTAACGGGCTCTTGTAGACTTAGAGTTTAGGGTTTGTAAGCCCTAAACCCGTCAGCGGTTCCCTTAGGGTACTATGACGGGAGGCTCCTAGGGTTTGTATAACACCTAAGCCTTAAAACCGTAAGCCCTAAACATCTTACAACAAACATCCTCCTAGTTGGGTCTCGCGGATCCCTTAGTCTCCTTTGAGGCTTTTAGGTTCTAAGGGTGCCTCAGCAGTTGAACTAGGGTTTTGGCTTTAGGGCTCTGAATTCCCTAGTGATCGCTACAGGGCACAGCCCTTTCTTTGGAATGAGACTGGGCTGGAAGCTCCTTTGGCGTGTGTGGAGGTTGTCGTCTATGAGTCTGTGCTCCACGACTAGCCACCGACGTGTTTTTCAGTGGAGAAACCGCCCCCTAAACCCTAAACCCTAAACCAACCTGTAAATGAATCACTGAATCACCTCAGGGTCCCTATATCACCAAGCCAAGGGTGAAGCTCTAGACTGGGCTTCAGGCAGCAAGCACTCGTCATCACGATGGTCAGCCGTTTCCATGCCTAGAGTCCGAGTATCACGGCCCCCTTTGCGCGTGGTCGTTGCCGTGCGATTTGTTGGTGAGCAACTGTTCTCTTGCTTGCTGGCATCATGCTACAACGTGCTCCTAACCTTGCGACATGTATGATATTTATAAGGGTCTGAACAAGTAGTCTGTAGTGAGTCATACTCCGATAGCTCCCTCGCAGAGTCCCTATATGAAAGTAGACTTTCTTGTACATGCTGCTAGGGCTGATGTTAGGGAATTGGGTCAGCGCACATACATAGGGCTGATTTTGCATAGTGGTGAATGCATGCTTTCGGTTTTGGTCTTGGGCGGTTAATCAATATTGCTGAACGCACTACTTGGTATGAACGCCCATCTTCGTCGGCCCGATGTTCCCAAGAGACCTGACAAATCAATCCGTGAAGGTTCCCGAACCTTGTGAGCGTCCAGGTGCGCATGCCGTGACGTGATGGCTTTGAGTCTAGGGTTGGGGCCATCTTCGGCATGTTAACTCGGCTTCTCGTAGCTAGTATAGGTTAGACTGCTGTATGGCAACTGCCTGATGCAGGCCTGTCAGCACTGTTTTTGATAATCCACTTCCCTGTGTTTGCCGAGCACTACAAATCCGGCCGCGCTACGATGTGCAGCCCATTTCTGTATGAGTCGCTTACCTGGCTTACCCTTTGTGATCTCAAAAATCAGATACGGCCTCTGATATAAGCCAGACGAAGACTTGAGTTGCACTAAGGCACTAAGGTCCATCTCCTAAGTTGAGAACTTGAACCCCGTACTACAGAAGCCTAACTACTCATCGCTATTCCATAGGGCTCCTTATTGTCATTATACACTATAAAGGAGCCCAGAATCCCTATTCTACATATAAATGCCCCTACATTGTAAGGTTTAGGGTTTAGGTTTTAGGGTTGAATGTAGGCAGTATCGCTAGAGTTCAGGCTGTAGCACTTGACCTGCTTTGGTTCAAATTTCAGTCTACAGGGTGGTTTGGTGTTCCAGGGATGTGCAGGGCTGGAGGCTCTGGAGACTTGATGCTGGATCAATGCTGGAATGTGGATAGCTTGAGTAAGATTGGATGTTAGAGCATAAGGGCTTACATAGTTGCAACGCTTGGCATTCATAGGTACATAACCCTAAACCCCACATGTTCAAGCTACACGCACCTGCCGGGCGCCCCCCGGCAGGCTTCACCATTCTGGGCACTTTCCTGCAGTCCGTTCGACGGGCAAAGACCCCAAGACAGTTTGTTGTGCGGTTTAGGGTTTAGGGTCCCAGAGAACCCAAAACCCCTTAATTAAGGAATATACCTTAAATCATAATATTAAGCTCCCTATAGTTTGAGGTATATTCCTTAATTAAAGGGTTATAGGGTTTCCCCTGTACCTGATCCGACTTCCGACGCGATTTCCCTCTGGCCTCCAGGTGCCTCAGGCTGCCCGGGAGATGATCCTCTACTGGGCGAAGCAAGCACGCAAGCGTGTGATACGAAAGAGGACCCACTGCGAGCTTGTCCCCATATATATATATACACACACACTAAGACTGTGTGATATAGCCCCCAAAGCCCTAATTCTGATTGTTCAAACCCTATGTCATTTGCTTGGTGCTACCTCTGTTCCGGGTTCGTATCAAAGTACGTACCCTTTACTGTTTGGGGTTCTATATCCCTTGTATGTGGACAACTAAGTGCAAACCCCTGGTTACTCCTCTTTTAAGGCTGTTGGGCCCAAAAAGAAGTACCATCTAAGGCTGCGTTTAGGGTTTAGGGTTTGGGGGTGTCGGGTTTAGGGCTTAATTAGGGGTTAGGACATCGTGAGCCTCATGGGGTATGTAGAGGGTGAGTCTCAGACCTGCGCCGATGGCTTATTGCACAGCTCTGCGAGGGTTTGGGGTTTAGCGTTTCACCGTGTAAGATTGGCAGAACTGCTGGTGTTAAACCCTTAACCCGAAACCCTAAACCCCGTAAGCCCCAAACCCTAAACCCTCTCTACATCCCCAGACCCTCTGCTTGGAAGGGCTATTCGCAGCCAAAACAAACGACCCGAGCTTCAGGACCATCCGGTACCAGTCGTCCAGCGAGGAGGATGGGAGGGTTTAGGAGTTTAAGGGGTTTAGGGGTTTAGGGTTTAGTGTTTAGGGGTTTAGGGTTTAGGGTTTAGAGTGCTGAGAAAGGAGTTTAGGGTTTAATTCGGGTTGAGTCAAGGATTCAGGGGGGGGGGGGGCTTGAAAGTGCATCCAGGAACAATGAGAGAACATTTGGGATTAGGAGCCCACCAGAGATGTAGTGCAGGAAAGCGAGGATTCCTTCGGTGAAGATTCCGGAGACGATGCCGGAGATGCAACCTGGAAGCAATTTCAGGGAGAAGCCTCCAAATGTGCTTTCGTGAGGTTCGGAGTTGGTTTCCGCCCATGTGACACTGATGCTATAGCTCTCCCCATCTATTTTCAAGAGCGCAGCACCCTTGGCTTTTGCAGTCCGGCTGGGGTTTCTGTGCTTCAGCTATCACTGCGTTGCGAGTTGAACCGCGTCATCGGGGCTACTGCTACCAGATCCAGTGGGCGTGGCTCCCGTTTGCGAACATAAACCATTCAATGAGAGGTGG